AACACCTTACCAATTGGCACAACAGCTAATGCCACAGGGATGCTAATGATGGAAGAATCATGTCGTCTCCATAACTACAATATGCCAACTACACATTCTCTGGGCCTAAGCCTGGAAATATCAAGTGTTTATATTACATAAAGGGGTTTCAAATGTTTAAAAATAGGTATTTGTATGTGGATTTGCGGAGGAGTCTTCATGGGAACTACCAAAATACGTCATAAATGTCTCAAATCAACTCATTCTTTCAAAACACTAGCAAAGGTAGCAAGGTCAATAAAGTGAAAAGGTGATATTCATATTTTTAAGACATCTTTTCAGTGTTTTTGTGGTTTCAGAAAATTTGGAGACTTGAGATAAACTGATAGGCCAAGATTCGTGTTAGTAAAGCAGACTGTGGCTTTAAACAGAACAAAAAAAATACAAATTATTTACTTTTAAAAAGTGGTGTCAGTATTGACTGATGCTTGCAAGCAACTGAAAAATGGGAAATATCAAGTGTATATATTACATAAAGGGATTTAATATGTTTCAAATTAGGTGTTTGTATGTGGATTTGCGGAGGAGTCTTCGTGTACTCCTGGCTTTGAGTCGGAGTTGCTGGTTTTTAAAGTGCACAGAGATGACCTTCACCAAGGAAAAAGACTAGGAAGAGGTAAGCTGTATTCTCTTTAAATAAAACCTTGAAACAACTGAATGTTTGGAGTTTAAATATTTTTAGTATTTGAATAAATATTTCTTTAACTTAAAAAAAAAAAAAAAAAAAATCTGCATCCACTAAATTTGCTTTCATCAGAGTCAAAATTAAGGGACTCACTCAAGTTAAGTTTAACTGTTGTGTACAATTAATAAGTGATGTATGCCATAAATAAACGTCCATAGATTCACTTCAGTAGCTGATGCTATAAAGGACACCCTCCAGCTGAGTCATGCCTCAAAAGGACACGCTATCGCTCCACAGCCTTTTCTAATTCAGGAAGTAAATTATCCGCCTGTGTTTTGTTACATTTTCCAGCAACACTGCATTTTTCAAAAGTGCGCATCTCTGTGTCCAAGCGGAGATACACATGTTAAGTGTTTGAGTGTTTGTTATACTCAAACACCGATCACTAACTCCACTACCTCTGACTTTATCACCATCTCTGGCATGATGTAGTAGGGCAAAAGTTATACACAGAAACTGAGCAAAGAGCGCTCCCTATATAAACAATGTAGCTGATATCACGTTCTATCAGTGGGTACTGGATTGACCCGGTATACGCTACTACAGAGAGGCTGGTATTGGAATTTTTTTTAGATTAAGTATCAACTTGGTAACACTGATTCATTGACTAATCATATAGTTGACGTACTGGTACTTTTGGCAACACTATTTCAGATCATCATCACACCTGGAGGGTGTTCCCATAGCATCTGCTACTGACACAGCGTCTTGTTCCCCACTCCAGGTTTACATACGTGACAAGATGCTTTATTGAGCCAATTGAATCTCTTTTTCTGACAGTAATTTTTAATGCATGTGATGGAAGAACAAGAACGCTCTTCCAGTCCGCTGACAGGTGTTTTGATGTGGACACGGATGGGACTGTAACACTGAAGAGACAAGTGACTCTTCATGAAGGCCACAAGGTGTTTTCTGTGGACGCTTGGGACTCCAGTGGAAAGAAGCACACGGTCTCTGTCAGAGTTGAGCGTGTCCATCATCATCATGAGGACCATCACATGAACACGGCCATGAACATCTCCTCTCCACAGGTACAAACAAGTTCCTACAAGAGTACAGTACAAGCCTGACCTCTATTGGACACTTCAGTGTTTATGTGTGCTACTTTAAATGGTAACACTTTAGAATACGGTTCCTTCGTTAATGAATAACTAAGAACCAATGAGTAACACGATATTAACAATCTAGTAATTATTAACTAACAAGAAACTCTGATTGACGAACTAGTAAGTAATAGCGCACAGATGAAAGTGGTACTTCACTGTTAACTAATCAATAACTACTATATTTTTAATGCTTCCCAGAGAACTACTGAAAAGGTTTTTTTAACAATATAGTAACTACTATTAACTAAAAATAAACTCTGATTAACGAATTAGTAAGTAATAGTGCACAGATGAAAGTGGTACTTCATACTTCTATGGGAATTATTAATTATTTGGATCCGTATTCTGTGAATGTCATGGGAACTAACTAGTAATGACTCAAGTGTTACTACATGATCTAGTCATGATTTGTGCAACCAAACACAAAAGTCATTTCAAGCGTTTGAGGTTTTTGGTGAACTTTAGTATACTTTTAGAAAATTTCTTTAGAAGTATGTGGTAACACTTGAGTCATTACTAGTTAGTTCCCATGATTCTTACAGTAGTTACTAATGCAAAGCCAATAAAGTGTAGAATCTTCTCACTCACAAGATATGAGTCTCTCACACACATATCTCACACACACACACACACACACACACACAAACACACACACACATATATATATACACTCACCGGCCACTTTATTAGGTACCCCATGCTAGTAACGGGTTGGACCCCCTTTTGCCTTCAGAACTGCCTCAATTCTTCGTGGCATAGATTCAACAAGGTGCTGGAAGCATTCCTCAGGGAGTTTGGTCCATATTGACATGATGGCATCACACAGTTGCCGCAGATTTGTCGGCTGCACATCCATGATGCGAATCTCCCGTTCCACCACATCCCAAAGATGCTCTATTGGGTTGAGATCTGGTGACTGTGGAGGCCATTTTAGTACAGTGAACTCATTGTCATGTTCAAGAAACCAATTTGAAATGATTAGAGCTTTGTGACATGGTGGAAGTAGCCATCAGAGGATGGGTACATGGTGGCCATAAAGGGATGGACATGGTCAGAAACAATGCTCAGGTAGGCCGTGGCATTTAAACGATGCCCAATTAAGGGGCATCTAAGGGGCCTAAAGTGTGCCAGGAAAACATCCCCCACACCATTACACCACCACCACCAGCCTGCACAGTGGTAACAAGGCATGATGGTTCCATGTTCCCATTCTGTTTACGCCAAATTCTGACTCTAACATCTGAATGTCTCAACAGAAATCGAGACTCATCAGACCAGGCAACATTTTTCCAGTCTTCAACTGTTCAATTTTGGTGAGCTCTTGCAAATTGTAGCCTCTTTTTCCTATTTGTAGTGGAGATGAGTGGTACCCGGTGGAGTCTTCTGCTGTTGTAGCCCATCCGCCTCAAGGTTGTGCGTGTTGTGGCTTCACAAATGCTTTGCTGCATACCTCGGTTGTAACGAGTGGTTATTTCAGTCACTGTTGCCCTTCTGTCAGCTCGAACCAGTCTGGCCATTCTCCTCTGACCTCTGGCATCAACAAGGCATTTCCGCCCACAGAACTGCCGCTCACTGGATGTTTTTTCTTTTTCGGACCATTCTCTGTAAACCCTAGAGATGGTTGTGCGTGAAAATCCCAGTAGATTAGCAGTTTCTGAAATACTCAGACCAGCCCTTCTGGCACCAACAATCATGCCACGTTCAAAGTCACTCAAATCACCTTTCTTCCCCATACTGATGCTCGGTTTGAACTGCAGGAGATTGTCTTGACCATGTCTACATGCCTAAATGCACTGAGTTGCCGCCATGTGATTGGCTGCTTAGAAATTAAGTGTTAACGAGCAGTTGGACAGGTGTACCTAATAAAGTGGCCGGTGAGTGTATATATATATATATATGAGCTAGGAGACATACATAAAAACATATTTTTTTGTGAGGTAGGTTAAATAATAAAATAACTGTATAGGGTATTTGGGTGGCTGAAGACTCAATATGTCCCAGTATCACCATGACTCTAGTGATTCAATGCCAGTCCATAGGAATGCCGGAAAACTGGCCACAGGACAAGTAAGGTCCCGACAACTGCATTTAAACATCCATTTCTTTCAAATTATTCAGTTGATAAATAGACAGCATAGGCCAATTATTAACAGCTTTCCCAAATCATAAGTCTGCTACGCTATTACAAATTGATAATGTAAACAACCTTGTGTATTCGTTTACAGTAGCAGTTAAAATGTTAATGTAGTGCTAGTCATTTGTCCTGCATTGGTTATTGATTAGTTTTGCATGAATTATGAACATTTTCAGTAGTTCTCTGGGAAGCATTAAAAAAATAGTAGTTATTGATTAGTTAACAGTGAAGTACCACTTTCATCTGTGCGCTATTACTTACTATTTCGTCAATCAGAGTTGCTTGTTAGTTAATAATAGTTACTAGATTGTTAATATTGTGTTACTCATTTGTTCTTGTGTAGTTATTCATTAACGAAGGAACCGTATTCTAAAGTGTTACCCTTTAAATTGACATATTCAATGATCTGTACATGTTTAGGACTAAATATTTTAGGCCTGTGTTAAATACATGACATTTCCAAGCCCTGCTGATGAATCTAATTTGTCACAGCTCTCTCTCATTGGTCTCAAACACACAAGTCGTAAACACACAATAAGTCTCAAACACACAATAAGTCTGCCGATTTGTTTCATTTATGCAATGCTAAAGCCTAAAACCTATGATTACCAAAATGTTTACACTGTTTTATATTACACACACATAAATAAAACATAACGTAAAATAATCCAGGCCTGGTCCTCTCTCATCCTTCACTGTCGTCGCTCCTCCTCCTTATTATTATTATTAAAAGGGAATAATGTACAGCTGGCGATGAAGCAAAGAGGTCTCGAATCAACCTAAACTGATTTATTGAATAGTGACCCCAAAAATTGTATATTGATACTGTTTTTCCCCAGACAGATTTTAATACTCAATAGCTGTAGTAAACATTTTGAGATGCAAAAATTATCCAAATATTTGATGGCTTGTGTGCTGTATTTAATTGTCAACAAAAATATTGAATAATAATTATATAAATACAACATTTTCAGATGGAATCTCCCTCTGAAGATCTGGTTCTGATGTTTCCAAAGTCTTCAACGGGTCTGAAGAGAGCAAAGAGAGGTTGGGTTATTCCTCCATTTAATATAGTTGAGAATAGCAGAGGTCCTTTCCCAGAGAAAATGCACCAGGTGAGAGAAAGTCATGAAGGGAAAGTTCAAAATGAGATGATCGAGAGAGGTTTGTCTGTAATTGACTTTCTCTTATTGATTTCTGTATTTAGATAAGGTCGGACTTTTCTAAGGAAGCTCAGATGCAATATAGTATCACAGGTGAAGGAGCGGATCTGGATCCTAAGGGGACTTTTACTATAGACAGATTATCAGGGAATCTGTTTGTGACTCGACCACTCGACAGAGAAAAAAAAGCTTCATACAGAGTAAGATTTGAATTGCCCCTTGGGGATGAATAAAGTGATTTGAATTGAATTGAATTGATGATTTTTAGTCTCTAAGTGTATTTCAGTGTTGGATTTTCTGCTCATTCTGAATTCTTTCAAAGCTGTTATCAGTTAATCAGATAAAAAGGCCCCGGAAAACGGCTTTTCTTTTCATGTGTTTCCATAGAGCATGATTTTTTTGTAATTTGTATATCTAGTAAAATTAAGTCAGTTTTCTTCAACTACACTTGAATATTGATGTGTCAAAGCTCAAAGACATTGTAAGGCCGTTTCAATCGATCCAATGGCGGCATTCGATCAGCGGGGAAGGTCTCTGCGTGGCAAAGTAATTTAATTAAATGAAATACATTTCCTCTGTTTTTTTTTTTTCACCTGACTCCATAAATGAAAAGGTTTTAATGATATCTGTGCATCATTAAATGTGAGTGAATGTTTGACTATCTTTTTAACTCTTTACTGAAAATAATGTCAGAGTCAATTAGAATAAAATCAAATGTTTACAATTTATTATGTCACGTAAATGTCTCATGTCAATTTCATAATCAATTCAAAGATAATCAATACAATAACATCAAATGAGTAAAAGATGAAAGATAAACCCGACATTTGAAATACATGATGAGGAGTGCCGGCATCCACTCTGCATCACGGGCTAATTTTGAGTTACAAAACTCATTTGCATTTCTTTATATAGACAGAAACTTCTTTCACATTGAAACATTTGCTAACAATGGAAATTTGCATTCAGAGGTTACACCTTTTGAGAGCAGAAAGCCATTTGCCTGAAAGTCACACCTGTCTGTGTGCAAGATATTTCTAAACTTGTAAGAACTTTATTACCTCTTGGTTTACTTCTATGGGAATGAGACATTTGTACCAGTCGCACTGAGACATTTCAAATGATACCAAACATGTATAAAACTGTATGATAATTGTTCACATTAAAACCACATTTATTTTGGATGAGCGTCAGGTGATCTCAGAGAGAGAGAGAGAGAGAGAGATTTGTCTCTTAACATGCCTGTATTTCTTCTCTCTTTAGCTTTTAGTTCGTGCGACTGCAGTTGGTGCGGATATAGTAGAAACTCCAATGGAAATTATTTTAAGTGTGATGGACCAAAATGATAATAAGCCTGTTTTTACACAATCTCCATTCATTGGAAATGTTCCTGAAGCTTCTGTTATAGGTAGGTGTATGGTGCAGTTTCTCAATGAAATGGTTTTTAGCAGTTTTTCTTCTTCAGTTTTTCCACCGAATCAGTCTTTATTCTTCTCTCACTGAAGGTCATGAGTTTATGACAGTCACAGCCACTGATGCAGATGATCCAGACACTTATAATGGTGTTGTCAGTTACGCAATCGTCAAGCAAGATCCAGAATTGCCAAAACCAGACCTGTTTATAATCAACCCTGTTACCGGAGGAATTCGTGTGAATGCTTTAGGCTTGGACAAAGAGGTGAGAAATCTGATAAATAGATCTTCGCATCGGTGAAGAATAATTTAATGTAAGCAAACTCACCTGAACTTTTCTTTTCAGACATGGCCCACTTACACTTTGTTAATTACGGCGACGGACCATGAAGGAAGAGGTTTTTCATCCACCGGCACAGCTGTTATTACTGTGACTGTCAGCAATGATACGGCACCAGACATTGGAAAATCAAAGAAGATAACGTGAGAAATATTAGAAGATTTCATTATCCCATTTGAAAATTCGGACTACTTTCTTTAGAGATTTCCAGATCTTAAAGCTAACACAAAAAAACCCCCATAGATTTGCATTTATAACCTTTTCAAATACTGATTTGAGCTCTCTTTCACGTCTTATGCTTGAAATGACAAATTCCCACAACATTATGTCAAAAAATGCTTGTTTCAGTGAGTATCCTAGTAAACAGTCGGTTATGTCTTAAATGAATGTAAAAAGTTGAGAAAGAGAACACGTGTCGGTATCAGTATATTAGATCCGTGCACTAATAATCCTGTTGCCGTCTGCGTTTTGATGTTAATCAAACAAATGATCAACAAATGAAAAAAAATCACTCACTGCTCTTGCCTTAATAACATTTGTAACTTTAATAAGGATTAATCTATATTTAATTTATAAAGTGAAGACTTTATTTTACCTTAGATTTTTTTACTCTTTACTTTACTACTGTTAGACCTATAAGAAAAAAAAGTTTATTTAATTTGTATCTTTGTTCTATTGCTTGCAATTTGTTATTTTATTACTGACTGTTTATTGTCTTTAATAATGTTTTAAATGTATATTATTTAGGTTAGTAGTTTTATGTGGTATAAAAATTTTAATAGAGAATGTTCACTGGTATCTAATATTTTAGTGTCATAATAACTGCCTGTTTTGCCCTGTTTATTGGCAACCCTGCCTATATTCCTTCTTTAACACTGACCAAACACAGAGAGCTGGATCAAAATGCAAAGAGTTTAATAACAAAATAAAAATAATAGCAAATAAATTAAACATAAACTTTAATCCTAAAAAACCCAACAAAACGAAAGTAAAGCAGCAGCTCCTCACGGACGACTGCCACATAAACAAACAAAAACATAACGTAAAGTCCAGGGGCCTCATTTATAACCGTTGCGTACGCACAAAACAGGCCCTGAAAGAGGCGTACGCCACCGATGCATAAGTTGTGATTTATAAAAACAAACTTGAGGAAAAATGTGCGCACCTGCACCCAAACTCTGACCCATGTGTACGAACATTTTGGAGACGGAGCAGTTTGGCGACACCGATGGTGAGCTGGAGTTAAATGTCTTTTTGGTCACTTTTAGACAGAAAATCTAAAGAAAATTATACATAGGCTATACAGAAAGATAATACAAATATAATTTCACTCACCAAGCATATCACTTGAGGCAAATATTCATCCCTTCTTAAATGTCCGCGCCAGCGAGCGCGTTGTGCCGTTTAGTGAAACTAACGCCTATCTAACGACAGAGTCCTAATCATAAAAACAGTGCATGTTCACAATAACAGTTTAAATAAATAAAATAATTATTTAAACTGTGTTACTTCTGATATAAACATTTAGATTAAATATGCCATTCTCATTGATGGAGTTAAACACTTAAACATGAAATCATTACTGAGAAGTTAAAACATTTTTCATATTCAATAAATAGAAATATTTGTTGTGGATGCAATGCTTTTGAACACTTTTCCTCTGGCATGCTGTGTTTTAATGTTTTAACTAAAGAGGTAATTGCTTATAGCAGATTGTCTGAAAAAATAGTTTCCTGCAAATAATGCACAACAGTCTATCTGTTTCCATTAAAAATATAAATCAATTAAAAATACTATTTGGTCAGTGGAAAAGATTGTGAAAACTTTCTCTGAAATGTTTTTTACACTATTTGATTTATTTATTCAAAAACAAGGCAAGGATAGGCTACTAAATAATTTTTATTAATGTAATGTGACGGCAATTAGGCTATTTCATATTTTTGAAAGCCTTGTAGGCTACCGTTAAACATGTTATCACGTGGATGAATAATCATATGCAAATGATATGCAGATGAGGATATGCATAGTAAAACTAGGCGTTGTAAGCTCCATATATGGTTATTTCGGGGAGGAGACGCATGTGCGCACATTCTTCCGCTGACTGAGATTTATCGGGATTTATAGGCAAGGCAAGGCAAGGCAAGTTTATTTATATAGCACATTTCATACACAATGGCAATTCAAAGTGCTTTACATAGAAGAAAATTAAAATAATCAAAACAAATAAGAACAATTAAAACAGTTTAGAATAAAAAATCAAATAAAGTAGTACTGGTCCACCCCATCTGAGATGGAAGAGATTGAGCCGGTTTACGGTGCCACTGGACCTCTAGCCCAGGGACGTACTCTGCTGGGGTGGTGCTACACCAGTAATGCCCAGCGGGGGCCCCACAGATCACGCTTCGTGTGCGCTGTCTGCTGCCGTTACCCTTAACCACGCTCTCAGCGACTTCTTATACAGCAGTATAACTTACTCCTTCACTCGCCTCATCGGAGTGAAGACTCTCCCGCTCTCCTTCAAAATCTCTTCCAGAGATTATAAAAATAAATAAATTAGAAATTAGAAAACAAACAAAGACAAAACCAGTACAGTAAAAACAGTCGGACGAACATTGGCACAGTGCTCATTCAGTAAATGCATAGCTAAACAGATGTGTTTTGAGTCTGGCTTTGAATGTGACTACTGTAGGAGCACATCTGATCTCCTCTGGAAGCTGGTTCCAGCTGCGGCTGGCATAATAGCTAAAAGCAGACTCTCCATGCTTAGAGTGAACCCTTGGTATTTCTAGCTGATGTGATCCTAATGATCTGAGTGATCTGTTAGGTTTATATTCAGTGAGCATATCTGCAATATATTGAGGTCCTAGCCCATTGAATGATTTATATACCAGTAATAATACTTTAAAGTCAATCCTAAATGTAACTGGGAGCCAGTGTAAAGACCTGAGGACTGGTGTGATATGTTCATATTTTCTGGTCCTGCTCAGAATCCTGGCAGCAGCGTTCTGTATGAGCTGCAACTGTCTTATGGTCTTTTTAGGAAGGCCAGTGAGGAGTCCATTACAATAATCCACCCTGCTGGTGATGAAAGCATGCACAAGTTTCTCTAAGTCTTGACTGGAAACAAAGCATCTAATTCTTGCAATATTTTTCAGATGATAATATGCTGATCTAGTTATTGCTTTGACATGACTACTGAAACTAAGGTCTGACTCTAGAGACACACCAAGATTCCTGACTTGATTTTTAGTTGTTAGACCCCTAGCGTCAAGGTATGCATTCACCTTGAGAACTTCATCTTTGTTTCCAAAAGCAATGACTTCAGTTTTGTCTTTGTTTAACTGAAGAAAGTTTTGGTACATCCAACTGTTGACTTCATCAATGCATTGGCACAGGGAGTCAATGGGGCTGTAGTCGTTAGGCGATAGGGCTAAGTAGAGCTGTGTGAGCTGCGCTCACTAGCACTCGTTCACTAGCACACGCTCACTAGCACTCGCTCACTAGCACACGCTCATTAGCACTCGCTCACTAGCACACGCTCACCAGCACACGTTCACTAGTACACGCTCACTAGCACACGTTCACTAGTACACGCTCACTAGCACACGCTCACTAGCACTCGCTCACTAGCACTCGCTCACTTGCACACGCTCATTAGCACACGCTCACTTGCACACGCTCACTAGCACACGCTCACTAGCACTCGCTCACTAGCACACGCTCACTAGCACACGCTCATTAGCACCCGCTCACTAGCACTCGCTCAATAGCACATGCTCACTAGCACACGCTCACTAGCACACGCTCACTAGCACTCGGTCACTAACACTCGCTCACTAGCACTCGCTCACTAGCACACGCTCACTAGCACTCGCTCACTAACACTCGCTCACTAGCACTCGCTCACTTGCACACGCTCATTAGCACACGCTCACTTGCACACGCTCACTGGCACTCGCTCACTTGCACACGCTCACTGGCACTCGCTCACTGGCACTCGCTCACTGGCACACGCTCACTAGCACTCGCTCACTAGCACTCCCTCACTAGCACACGCTCACTAGCACACGCTAACTAGCACACGCTCACTAGCACTCGCTCACTAGCACTCGCTCACTAGCACTCGCTCACTAGCACACGCTCACTAGCACACGCTCACTAGCACTCGCTCACCAGCACTCGCTCACCAGCACTCGCTCACCAGCACACGCTCACCAGCACTCGCTCACCAGCACACGCTCACCAGCACTCGCTCACCAGCACTCGCTCACCAGCACTCGCTCACCAGCACTCGCTCACCAGCACTCGGTCACCAGCACACGCTCACCAGCACTCGCTCACTAGCACACGCTCACCAGCACTCGCTCACCAGCACACGCTCACCAGCACTCGCTCACCAGCACTCGCTCACCAGCACTCGCTCACCAGCACACGCTCACCAGCACTCGCTCACCAGCACACGCTCACCAGCACACGCTCACCAGCACTCGCTCACTAGCACACGCTCACCAGCACTCGCTCACCAGCACTCGCTCACCAGCACACGCTCACCAGCACTCGCTCACCAGCACTCGCTCACCAGCACACGCTCACTAGCACACGCTCACCAGCACACGCTCACTAGCACACGCTCACCAGCACTCGCTCACCAGCACTCGCTCATCAGCACACGCTCACCAGCACACGCTCACCAGCACTCGCTCACCAGCACTCGCTCACCAGCACACGCTCACCAGCACACGCTCACCAGCACTCGCTCACCAGCACACGCTCACCAGCACACGCTCACCAGCACTCGCTCACCAGCACTCGCTCACCAGCACTCGCTCACCAGCACTCGCTCACCAGCACACGCTCACCAGCACTCGCTCACCAGCACACGCTCACCAGCACTCGGTCACCAGCACACGCTTACCAGCACTCGCTCACCAGCACTCGCTCACCAGCACACGCTCACCAGCACTCGCTCACCAGCACACGCTCACCAGCACTCGCTCACCAGCACTCGCTCACCAGCACACGCTCACCAGCACTTGCTCACCAGCACTCGCTCACCAGCACTCGCTCACCAGCACTCGCTCACTAGCACACGCTCACCAGCACTCGCTCACCAGCACTCGGTCACCAGCACACGCTTACCAGCACACGCTTACCAGCACTCGCTCACCAGCACTCGCTCACCAGCACTCGCTCACTAGCACACGCTCACCAGCACTCGCTCACCAGCACTCGCTCACCAGCACTCGCTCACCAGCACACGCTCACCAGCACACGCTCACCAGCACTCGCTCACCAGCACTCGCTCACCAGCACTCGCTCACCAGCACACGCTCACCAGCACACGCTCACCAGCACTCTCTCACCAGCACTTGCTCACCAGCACTCGCTCACCAGCACTCGGTCACCAGCACACGCTTACCAGCACTCGCTCACCAGCACACGCTCACTAGCACACGCTCACTAGCACACGTTCACTAGCACTCGCTCACTAGCACTCGCTCACCAGCACTCGCTCACCAGCACACGCTTACCAGCACTCGCTCACCAGCACACGCTCACCAGCACTCGCTCACCAGCACTCGCTCACCAGCACACGCTCACCAGCACTCGCTCACCAGCACTCGCTCACCAGCACATGCTCTCTAGCACTCGCTCACTAGCACACGCTCACCAGCACTCGCTCACCAGCACTCGCTCACCAGCACTCGCTCACAAGCAAACGCTCACCAGCACACGCTCACCAGCACTCGCTCACCAGCACTCGCTCACCAGCACACGCTCACCAGCACACGCTCACCAGCACACGCTCACCAGCACTCGCTCACCAGCACACGCTCACCAGCACACGCTCACCAGCACACGCTCACCAGCACACGCTCACCAGCACTCGCTCACCAGCACTCGCTCACCAGCACTCGCTCACCAGCACACGCTCACCAGCACTCGCTCACCAGCACACGCTCACCAGCACTCGCTCACCAGCACTCGCTCACCAGCACACGCTCACCAGCACACGCTCACCAGCACTCGCTCACCAGCACTCGCTCACCAGCACACGCTCACCAGCACTCGCTCACCAGCACTCGCTCACCAGCACACGCTCACCAGCACACGCTCACCAGCACTCGCTCACCAGCATTCGCTCACCAGCACTCGCTCACCAGCACTCGCTCACCAGCATTCGCTCACCAGCACTCGCTCACCAGCACTCGCTCACCAGCACACGCTCACCAGCACTCGCTCACCAGCACACGCTCACCAGCACTCGGTCACCAGCACACGCTTACCAGCACTCGCTCACCAGCACTCGCTCACCAGCACACGCTCACCAGCACTCGCTCACCAGCACTCGCTCACCAGCACACGCTCACCAGCACTCGCTCACCAGCACTCGCTCACCAGCACTCGGTCACCAGCACACGCTTACCAGCACTCGCTCACCAGCACTCGCTCACCAGCACACGCTCACTAGCACACGCTCACTAGCACACGTTCACTAGCACTCGCTCACTAGCACTCGCTCACCAGCACTCGCTCACCAGCACACGCTCACCAGCACTCGCTCACCAGCACACGCTCACCAGCACTCGCTCACCAGCACACGCTCACCAGCACTCGCTCACCAGCACTCGCTCACCAGCACACGCTCACCAGCACTCGCTCACCAGCACTCGCTCACCAGCACACGCTCACCAGCACTCGCTCACCAGCACACGCTCACCAGCACTCGCTCACCAGCACTCGCTCACCAGCACACGCTCACTAGCACTCGCTCACTAGCACACGCTCACCAGCACTCGCTCACCAGCACACGCTCACCAGCACACGCTCACCAGCACACGCTCACCAGCACACGCTCACCAGCACTCGCTCACCAGCACTCGCTCACCAGCACTCGCTCACCAGCACACGCTCACTAGCACTCGCTCACTAGCACACGCTCACCAGCACTCGCTCACCAGCACTCGCTCACAAGCACACGCTCACCAGCACACGCTCACCAGCACTCGCTCACCAGCACTCGCTCACCAGCACACGCTCACCAGCACACGCTCACTAGCACACGCTCACTAGCACACGTTCACTAGCACTCGCTCACTAGCACTTCGCTCACCAGCACTCGCTCACCAGCACTCGCTCACTAGCACTCGCCCACTAGCACACGCTCACTAGCAGCACTCGCCCACTAGCACACGCTCACTAGCAGCACTCGCCCACTAGCACACGCTCACTAGCACTCGCTCACTAGCACTCGCCCACTAGCACACGCTCACTAGCAGCACTCGCCCACTAGCACACGCTCACTAGCACACGCTCACTAGCACTCGCTCACTAGCACTCGCTCACTAGCATACGCTCACTAGCACTCGCTCACTAGCACTCCCCCACTAGCACTCGCTCACTAGCACTCGCCCACTAGCACACGCTCACTAGCAGCACACGCTCACTAGCACACGCTCACTAGCAGCACATGCTCACTAGCACACGCTCACTAGCACTCGCTCACTAGCACTCGCTCACTAACACACGCTCACTAGCACACGCTCACTAGCACTCGCTCACTAGCACACGTTCACTAGCACACGCTCACTAGCACTCGCTCACTAGCACTCGCTCACCAGCACACGCTCACTAGCACACGCTCACTAGCACTCGCTCACCAGCACACGCTCACTAGCACTCGCTCACTAGCACTCGCTCAATAGCACACGCTCACTAGCACTCGCTCACCAGCACACGCTCACTAGCACTCGCTCCAGTCTCATGGCTCACGGCCTCGCCCTGCTTGCCACAATAAGAAACAGATATCACAATAGATCCTTTGAACTTCAAATGATTTTAAACCACCAGACAAGACGATGTCAAACTAACATTAAGATGTTCTTGCTGAACATTTCTAGTTTTCACCTGTATGTTTTGGTTCCTCCCAGGTATAAAGTTGGCAGTGATCCTGCCGGCTGGCTGAGTGTACATCAAGACACTGTAACGATTAAAGTCAAGAGACCCACGGATAGAGAATCTCCCTTTGTCAAAGATGGCAAATACACAGCTATCCTTTTGACCGTGGATGATGGTAAGTTGTGTTTCTTTTTTAAGAGAAGAATTCTTGCTGGCATATCCCTTTTCTGATGTCTGCTTGTGTGCAGGTACACCTCCAGCAACGGCTACAGGAACCCTGGTCATTGACTTGGAGGATTTGGGTTTTCATTCTGTCTGCAAAGATTCATCCATCGGCCCGATCGGTTAAATGTGTGAACAGGGCCTTACGTCTTAATAGTTCATTAATCATTTACATCTTACTTTTCACATTTGCTAAACATAAAAATTTTACTTTCATTACATCTACGTCATGTTAACATTGCTGTATTCATTGTTATATAAATGAGAATGTACAGCCAGATGGTTTATTAAAACATTTTTAAATTCACAAGTAATTGGTTGTCATATTTTAAAAACTTTTAAATACCAATCTCACAAAAGATCATCATAAATGTACTGTTTTGCAAACATTTCAGAATAAATTTTCTGTTATTAAAAGTTATTTACTTTTCTTATAAAGTAAATGCCTTTCATAATGTTATGAACATTAAACTTTCAAATTTTGCATCTGTTGTAGTTCATTTGAATACATTTGACTATCAATTAATCCAACATATCTTATTGTTTAATCAGTGATTTGTTTAATACTAATATATATAAGTATAAGCAATTTATTACAGATGATAACACCAATATTCAAAGTGTGTGTGTGTGTGTGTGTGTGTGTGTGTGTGTGTGTGTGTGTGTGTGTGTGTGTGTGTGTGTGTGTGTGTGTGTGTGTGTGTGTGTGTGTGTGTGTGTGAGAGAGAGAGAATTGTGAAATTGTATTCATATTCAGTTGGGAGAAACAATTACTTTTGTTGTTAAGATTTCTTCGACATCACTGCTTTGGCTCTCGCGGCTCTAGATTCTCATCTTTATACTTTTTTGAGTGTTTAGGATTTTTCTTTTAAAAAAACTACTACGGCTGGCTCGATGGAAATGTAAAACTGTTACAAAAAAGTATTGTCTGGACCTGGAAATATAGAGACCGGTCCACTTGAAACTGTAGTTAAAATACCCCTAAAATCTGCATTGCTGTGTGTTATTCTCATTTCTACCACCAGAGGAACTCAGTGGTGAAACATCACTCGCTCTAAACAACAGAACAACAGATTATGAGCCTATACTCAATAACTGAGGCTGAGAAACTGAGTATCACCTCTGACGATATGGACTAACTGTATGGTTTGGTTACCTTACAGAGCAAATTAAATTAAAGCTTGCTAATCTGGTTAGCGTATAATTTCAAAATCCAGTTTAGGATTTCCCATTAAAGTAACCAACTGAGTTTTGCATATAATCAGTCTTTCTCCGTGAAAAAGTGTCGACTTCCTCTTTTCTGCCTTTTCAGCCTCAACCACGTCCACTTCCATGTGTTCTAGAAGCATCTGGTCTTATCTAGAATTAAAACACTGAGAAAACCACATAGCCTACATCTATATTTTTTTTTATTCGGACCACAATTGTATCTGAGCGATTAAATTCCTCTTTTCAACCGTCTGGTTTCAACAGCAGTTCCTCAAGTTGTTTTAATACAGCAAGTCCTTCTTGCAAAAAAAGAAAAAGGGGTAAAAAGCAAGCAATTTCTCGACATAATGCAGGAAAATGCAGTAAACTACTCAGTGGATTTTTCTGTATTCCGCATTTTCCGACCTAAAAAGTAGCTTATGACCCACATGAACTCCATAAATCTGACTGATTAATGTAGGATTAAAAAATGGCCTTATACAGTAAATAAAATGCAAAATGTCAAGGTTTCTAATACATTTATTTCATCATGCACAGCACTGCACAACTCACGGCGCAAATCTGCGGGACAGCTTGTTAGCCGAGGGTTCAACGCGCCAAATGAGAGTAAAAATCGGTGTTGAAACGGTGTCAAGGACCCGATACTCACAGCGAAGGTGTTTTCCATTCTTCACTTAGGGGTAAAACACTCGTTTTATTTTTTTCAATAACCATGCATAAACAATATTCTCTCAAAAATGCAAACATGTACATACATGTTGCTCCCATATTATGGTAGCCCTGTTTGTGGTGAATAGAGTGTAATGACAACTTTGCCATTAATATGTTTATAAGCAACTGAAAAAAGCAGAAATGACAGGGCATGTCAAAACATCTCAAGGACCCCAAAAACACCTCAGACCCCAGAGGGTTAAGATCACTTGGATTAATTGTTGGTCAAATGTATTCAAATGATAAACAACATATGCAAATTAGAAAGTTTAATGTTCATAACATTATGAAAACAATTGCTATTGCTTTACAAGAAAGGTAAACAAAGATTAACCCTCTGGGGTCTGCAATCACGCCGGCGTGATCTGCTCGCTTTTTTTCTTATCAGTGCAAAAGAGACTCAAATAACTCAGTCGATTTTTGTCATACAGGCAAATGTTATACATCAATCGATCCTGTTAAGTTTCTATTTTTTTTGTGGATACTCACAATAAAAACAAAGTGTTGTGCTTTTCACCAAATAAAGAAAAACAAACATGATGCGAGTTCTGCGTTCTCTCTGTCAGTGAAGTCCATTCTGAAACGCGTCCTAAGATTAACTGTAACTCCGCGATTACTTGTCATACAGGCACGAGAGATTTTTCTTTATGAAGCTTGAATTCTCTTCTTTTAAATGAAGTAATTTATATAAAAAACAAATATTCTCAGTTTATGCAATCTGTATGAAAAGAGAGTGCTGTCAGTATTTTCCCCCCCAGCTCATTACACTTCATTACGCGTTAATCTGACATGCCCACGGAGGACGCGCGCTATTCAAACGCAAATGTCGGCAAGCCATGACAATGCCCACATCAGCCGTTCCACCGCGGTGGTAAAATGTGTGGTGTATTTGCTGCCTTTTACCGCTAAGAGGCGCTACAATCATAGACTCTGAAAAGTGTTTGTTTATTCCGGTTTATTCTCTCTAATGCGTAATCTGCTGCCGCACCGCGCTGATTCAGAGCGATTGAAAGCTGGTAGCAGAAGAATTCAACAAGTGAAACGTGGTTAAAATAATTCATAATCACAATACTGAAATTAGGCTACTGAAATGTAATTGAATAAATAATGAAAACATTTCAACATAAAACATTGCAATAAAAACATTTAGGCTACATCAATGAGGCTTTACAACTTAAACAGCGTACAGACGATAGCTCAGTGATCAACGCAACAACACGAGCTTCGAGGAGCTTCAAACGACCCAAGATCGAATCTCAATGTAGCATACATGTTGTTAACCGATGTTGCCCTACAGCGTTTATATTTTACCACCTTGATGCTTAAATAGCTAACTGTTTATAACTGTTTACTTATTTAAAGTCAAGAGTTTTGTTTAATTATCATTACAACATAAATTTGCTACATTCCTGTAGAACCGCAGCCGCTGCACAAACGACAAAAACTGATGAAGGAAGATTGTCAGCCGATTGCATCAGAAAATGAAAATGAAGAAGCTCGTCTTTAGTCTGCTAAATTATTGTGTAATGTAAAAGAACACTAAAATTACTTAAGTTTGAAACCAAGTTCGAACATTTCAAGGATTAACTAAAGTGTCGGGACAGTTTTTTTTATTTAAAACAGGGTTGCATCGGGTTTAGAGTTTATTTCTTTTGCGATGCAAAATAAGAAACACTAGGCTAATCTTATTATTGCGACATTTTAAATTTGTATTGCCAAAGAAATTACAGCTAAATTAAACAATTAAAACAGTACAAAACGAAAATTGTCCAAAGAAACATAATTAAATTAAAAACATGCGTTTTTCTTTGCCTCTCTCGCGCTGGAACTCTTTTTAACAAATTTATTTAGTCTCCCTCGCTGCGCATGCATGATATGATCAATGCATGATAATTATTTAGCCTTTAATTGTTGCTTCAAAGACACAGCATGCCTTGTTGAATTCACCTTACAATAACTTCAATTGAAATTTTGTGTGAAAAAAAATTTAAAATAGGCTACAATAAATAAACTACAATATTTATAATTTAATAAGATATGGGGCCTACATTTGGACACAGATTTATCCTTACAACAATTGTGCCTGCTCATCAGGCTGGCTATCCGACACTCTCCATATGAAAGAGGAACATTAACACCTTTGTCCAGCAACTGTCCCTCCAACCCCCCACAGGCTATCGGAGTCTGAGGCTGACTTAACACAAAGAGAAGTCGCAATTCACACTTAACCCTTTAAGGTACGCACCATGAAAAAAGCAAAGGAAAAATTATTTCTTTGCATTTTTTATTCAATTATGATAACAATAACAACAATCAAAAAAAAAAATTTAATTAGACCTTACAGTATTTTAGATACAATCCTCTACCAAACGGTTGAGACGTCTGTTTATAATAAAAGAACAACATTCAGAACAAGTCATATTAAGTGCATTTTCTTGACCAATAAAAAAATCTGATGGCTGCTATTGATGGCTCTTACAATGCTAGTCATATAGTAATACACAAACATAGTCAATTTTAAATTATGAAATTAATAGTAACACCAGAATTGGTATTAATTCTTCAAATGTATTCTTGATATTTACCATAATACAGTACAGAAATGCTGAAAAAATGATATTGATCAAATATTTTTTATCAAATATGTAATTGAATAATATTAAAATTAATCATTTTAACAACACTAACCCTTTTGTTCATTGTAAATAGCTAATTTGACCAACATTAGCTAATTTTATTAGCTAATTTTTACTACCTTAAAAGGACAACTCAACCGTTTGGTAGAGCATGTTTAAAAAAATTATTTGACCCTTATAAGACTTATTTTTCTTTAATTAAGTTACATAATTCTGTTTAACAACTCCTCTGAAACGATAATATGTCAACCAAATAGTCTTACCTTTAAAAGTCCCGCCGATATGCGTCATCAAAGGAGGAGCAAATTTTCGCTGTGTCATGTGCTGTTTGAAGGAACACTGAAATGGCATGCTGCTCACAGACACAGTGCCATCTAGTGGATTTTTTTAGCATTGCACAACTACACCAAACGGTAGAGATGGCTCATTCAGGTTGAGTTAAGCTTGATGCATTTTTCAATAAAATATAGTGACTTTAAGTGTGGTCTACCAAATGGTTGAGTAGTACCTTAAAGGGTTAAATCGCTATTCTAGACAGTGTTGATAATGAAGGAATTAAATGATTTAAGTTACATGTAGCCTAGTGATATTTCTGTCATAAAAGTTTATTACTAAATATTTCATTATTTCAATAATTAATGAAATAAAACTGGTTTGGGGCAGCTTTTTCCAAGCAAAACTAAATATAATCTGAAAAAACGCTTGTTAATTTGT